GATTGATACCACAAATGGCAGAATACATGAGATAGTTTTGCTACTGGAAAGATACAGGTTGATAGATGAAAGTGTCTAATCTAAAACTAGTTAAATTTAGTGAAATTTAGTGACAATAGATACGGTTAAATAAACAACTGATAATGATAATAATGCATACATATGTATTGGACAAATAGTAATTGGATATGAATATTGAATAGTACCTATGAAAGGAAGATTAGGAATTATTTGGTTATATATAAAGGTTAATAAAAAAGAACTGTTGAATCTAGCTAAGTTTTTATTATTGGGGGGTGGGAAATGCTATGCTCATGGATAGAGTTAATGAAGGAGGGATAATGATAACAATGTATGTATGTATGTATGTATGTATGTATGTATGTATGTATGTGTACAACATAAGGAAATTGGATGTAAATTCTAAACAGTGATTTCGAAAGGANGAGATCAACAGGTAGCCAGCGCAGCTCGCGGAGGATAGGTGTTATGTGGGCGAACCGCGGTGCGCCCACAATCACTCACGCGGCCGCATTCTGGACTAGCTGAAGTCACCGGATGCTCTTCAAGGGCAGCCCCATGTAGAGCACATTGCAGTATTCCAGCCTAGAGGTCACAGAAAGGCAGATCTTCCAGCAATAATTTTTCCTGCACTAATAATAATGCCATGTAACAAGTCTATATTTAATCTGGCAAGGGAGGAAAGTCATGAAACGAATGGGATAGATGTTTCTTTTTTGTGTTTACATTCGATATTTGTTATGAACCAAGGGCAAGGAAGAAGAAATGGTAATGTGGAAAACTGTAATGTGGGAAACTGTTGGATACTAGAATCACTGTTCTATAAGTAATTGGTTCTGATGCTTTGTTTTTGATATTGGGTTAATGGGACAGGCTGCCATTATACTTGTTTTGACAGTTTGTGATTTCTTATATGTAAATGTAGTCCCTGATATACAACGGTTTGTTTAATGACTGTTCAAAGTTGCTGAAACAAATGACTTACAATTTGTCTTCACACTTATGACTGTTGCAGCATCCCAGGGGCACATGATTGCCATTTGTGACCTTTCCAGCCAGTTTCTGAGAAGCAAAATCAATAAGGGAAGTCAGATTTGCTTAATAACCATGCGATTCACTTAACATTGGTGGCAATCAAGTTGTAAAATTGGGCACAAGTCAATTAATGGCTATCTCTCTTACTTATAAGAGTTCTGGTTCCATTTGTGGTTTAGATTGAGGATCTGTATGACCTCTTTTAACTTGATTGTCTTCATTATACACCACTCTCTTGTAAATGCTTTCATGGTATCCCAGATCACAATAAAGCCTGACATGTATGTTAATTTCCCATTAATTTTATTTTAAATGTCTTTATTATCCACAGGAAGCAATTAAAAGACTACAGCAAATACTTCATGGTCCCACTGAAATAATGTCAACATGGTCTGAGACCAAAATATTTTCCAGTTTAGAAGAAACAAGTGTGCTTATACAATTAGTAGAACAGAAAAAAAGAGTAATTCCTTAATAACTTCCACAATGATGATGATAAAAAAGCAAGTCCTAAAAAACAAGTTTCATAGGATTGTGATGTCCTTTCAATTAGCATTTTTGATTTGCCAAATATAAACCAATAATGATTTTTTAAACCTTTTTCCTCCAAATTTGTGATCAAATGCTAACACTTTCTTTTTTTATTTATTGGACAGGTCTTACCTGTTTCAGTGTGTACTGAGAGCTGCCTCCCTGGTTATTTCAAACGAAAGCAGGAAGGGAAGCCATTTTGCTGCTATGATTGTCTTCCTTGTCCCAAAGAGAAGATTTCAGGCCAGAAGGGTAATATATTACTGTATTTAAACATTAGTATACCTCATTATACTTTATATACTGAGTTGCCACAAAGAAGAAAGGGACAAATTGTTCTCCAAAGCACCAGGGGGCAGACAAGAAACAGTGGTTGGAAACTAATCAAAGAAAGAAGCAATTAAGGAGAAACTTCCTAATAGTAAGGACAGTGAGAAACTGCGGGCACTCCATTACTGGATGTTTTTAAGAAGAGAGTGAACATATGAAACAATATAGATTCTCCTACTTGAGCAGTGGGCTAGACTAGAAGACCTCCAAGGTCCCTTCCAGTACATTCATTCATTAGTTGTACATATTTATAAATGTATCTTGACATGGTTTTCAAATAATTCAAAAAATTGCTAGATTTTATCAAAATAAAACTCAGACTTTTACTTTATTAATACTTTCTTGAACTGTATATTAAACTATTGCCTATAAGCTCTGATATACTTATGGTTATGAACATTGATTTCATTTTATCTTATGAAGTCTTTGTTTTTGTCTTCTTTTATTTTATTTTTATTTAAAAAATTATAGGGTCACCTGTGCTCTACAAGATAATTATTGGTGGCTCAAAATAACAGCAAGAGCACTTGGACATATTCTTAGGAGCCATGGTGATGCAGTGGTTAGAATTCAGTATTACAGGCTAACTCCACTGACTGCCAACAATTTGATCTTGACAGGCTCAAGGTTGACTCAGCCTGCCATCCTTCCAAGATTGATAAAATCAGAACCCAGTTTATTGGGGGCAATATGCTGACTATGTAAACTGTTTAGAGAGGGCTGCAATAGCATTATGAAGTGCTGTTGCTATTATATGCCTTTCCATAATGCTTTAAAGTACTCTCTGAATGATTTACAATTTCAGCATATTTTTCTCAACAATTTGGGTTCTCATAATATTTATAATATTTTATCTAATATTAAATAAAAAGAAAATAAATAAACAAAATGTCAAAATCACATTATTATTATATGTGGTTAATGTTTGATAAGATTCACAGCATTTGGGGTTGGTTGGTAGCTCAACAGCTCTAGTCCTAACCAAGGACCCAGGAACTGTTAAGGTAACATCGGAGGATATAAGCTGTTCCAAGTAGGATGGTTTTTTGTAGAATCAGAACATTCAAGTCTGATAAATTTAGAATTTCCAAATAGCAAGGTAGCCCTTTAGGTATTGCTCCAAGAGCTCCAATGACAATCGGGACAACAGATGGTTTCTTTTTCCACAATCGCTCAACCTCAATTTGCTGGTCCCAGTATTTTGTGATTTTTTTCTTGCAGTTTAGCTTCAATTCGTGCATTACTAGGTATTGCATTGTCAATGAACCATACTTTTTTCTTTTCAATTATTGTTATGTCAGGTGCCTGTCAGTCTGGATTCTGAAATCCCACAACATCTTGACTTTCTCATTCTCTAAAACCTTCTCAACCTGATGGTCCCAGTGGTTTTTGTTATATTCAAATCCAAACTTTTGGCACATTTTCCAGTGAATAAGCTTAGCAAACGCGGTCATGGCATTGTAGGTAGGCAGTTTGTGAAATTTTGCTACACCCACTGATCAAGTGGTTGACTGTCTCGTCTTTCTCATTACAGAGGCAACATTTGCTGTTGGTGGTAACATGTTGAATTTTTGTCTTCATGCAGTTTGTGGCCAAGGCTTGTTCTTGAGCTGCCAAAATAAAGCCTTCTGTTTCTTTTTTCAGTGCTCCTGATCTTAACCAGTTCCAAGTTAGCTTTTGGTCAGTTTGCCTTCAATAGTTTTCACGTATTGGCTATGCACAGCTTTGTTTTTCCAATTTCCAGCTCACTTCTCAATTACTTCTTTCTTGTATCAGCTTTTGATTTAGTTGTCTTTAAAAGGCCACCTTTATTTACTTCCTTAATCATTGGTTCTTCATTTTTCTGGATGTAATCATTCAAGCTGCGTTTTTCTTCTTCCACAGTCTGTTGTACTTGTAGGAGTCCTTGACCACCCTCTGCTCTTGGTAGATATAATCAGTCAACATCACTTTTAGGGTGCAAAGCATGATTCCTTATCATAAGCTTCCTTGTTTTTCTGTCCAAATTGTCCAGCTCCATCTGGGTCCAGTCAATTATTCCTGCAGAGTATAGAATCATAGGTGTAGCCCAGGTATTTATGGCTTTTATGGTGTTTCCTCCACTCAGTTTGGACTTTAATATGTTGCACATTCATTGAATGTACTTGGCTGAAGTTGATTCCTTGACTTTATTATGTATTAAGTCAGAGGCCTCTAAAATCCCCAAGTACTTATAACCTTCTTCTAGTATTATTGCCTTTATCATTTCTTCCATGTCAAGTTCTATTCCATCATCTTCTGTGCCCTTGCCTGCTTTGATTGCTGTTGTTGCACATTTGTCAATTCCAAACTGCATGCCAATGACTTGACTAAATTCTTTTATGCTTTTGATTAATAAAGTCAGCTCAGCTTTCATTTTACCAAACATCTTCAAATCATCCATGTATAACAAGTGCAAAATTTTCAATCCTTTCTTTGCAAGTTCGTATCCACAGTTCACCTTCTTCAAAATGGTTGTCAGTGGTAGCATTGACAGTATAAAAAGTAGAGGTGAAAGGGAATCACCCCGTAAAATGTCTTGTTTAATTTCAACTTCACCCTCTTTTTCTCCATTAGCCATAAACTTTGTTTTCCAGAGATTCATTGAAGTTTCCATGAATTTTTGTATGTTGCTACTGATGGCAAAGATTTTCAGGCATTTCTTGATCCAGCTGTGGGGAACTGAATCAAATGCTTTCTTATAGTCTATCCAAGCCATGAATAGGTCGGTTCGTCTTTTCTTTGAATTCTTTTGGATTAGCTTGTCAATCAGCAATTTGTTCCTCTTGAATTTTTGCAGCATCCTTTCTGTTCTGCAGGAGGCAAGTCATTTCTTTCCAAGTATCCGTAAATTTGATTTGCAATGATTCCAGTAAGGAGCTGGCAAGAAGGAGATTAGCCTATAGTTTCCAGAGTACTTTTCTCTTTCTTTGTCTTTTTGGATCAAAAATGTCCTTTTAGTTGTCATCCATTCATCCTTTTCGGGTGTTTTTAAGATCTGGTTCATTTGGGCTGCCAATCTTTCATTCACACTTGTAAGAGAGCCGACGTGGTGCAGTGGTTAAATGCAGCACTGCAGGCTACTTCAGCTGACTGNGGTTGGGGAGAGCTCTCGCGTCTTTTCTGCCCAGGCAGCACTCGAAAGCAGGTTAAGAGAGGCGTTCAGCTGCTCCTTGTCCTATCCCGAATCCCTCCCTTGCACAAGCAGCACCAGTAGTGGCGGCGTCAACAAAAGCCATGGAGGCAAGACAGCCTGGTCCTCCCACGCCAACAAGTAGCTTCTGTCGGCACAGTTAGCGTCACCGCGTTTACCGAAATAGACGAAACAAGCGCGTCCTCGCGAACTGAAGAGAGCGGTTCTCAAGCCAACAATGGTGCCCGAGTTCAGACGGAGCCGAACACCACCTCCACGCCAGCCGCATAAAGCCTTCCCCCTTCTTGTCTCCCACCCAACATGTTTTGCTTAACGGCGGCCGAGTTCTAAACTGCTGGCATGACTTTGAAGTGCTGGATTGCCTTCCGCGTGGGCCGACGTGGAAGACAAGCGGCAAGCCAGCACTTCAAAGTCATGCCGGCACTTTAGCGTGCCCCTCAGCCGCCATTCAGCGAAAGATGTTTCGCTGAATGGCGGCCGAGTTCTAAACTGACGGCATGACTTTGAAGTGCTGGATTGCCTCCCGCGCAGGCTGACGTGGAAGGCAAGCGGCAAGCCAGCACTTCAAAGTCATGCCGGCAGTTTAGCATGCTGGCAGGCAGGGCTAGAGTGAGCGAGCGAGCGTGCTCTGTCCTGGTGGGTGCATGAGTGGAGCACTTTTCCAGCGCTTCTGTGCCTGGAGAGCTCTGTCTGTATATGAGCCCGGGATCCACCGCTTGCGCTTCCTTGCTTCGCCCCGCCACCCGCCTTCCCTATCTAGGGGCTCCTCCAGCAGAAGTAGCAGAGTCGCGTCAAGCGCCGCTCTGCCTTCCTCCGCGCTCTTCCCACCCGGATGCCCAAAGCCTCCCAGCCCGCCTGGCCTGGGGTGAATCAGCTGCAATGCAGCGTGCGGCAATCCCACCACCATCCACCCGCTCACTTGCCCCGCCCATCACTTACTCTGAGATCAGAAAAGAAGCAGTGGCCCCAGGTGGCTCTTTTCGCGGAGGCTTTCCCATGCCTTGTCCGGAAGTGGGGCTGGAAAGGGGAGCTCGCTCCCCCACCCATACGCCTGCTCACTCACTACACTATCCCGCCCATGCGAGCGGCAGTGGATGGGCAGGGGAGCGAGTTGAAGAAGGTGGCAAAATTAAGCGGGATGTTTTGGGAATGGCCCAGGATGCGGGAAAAATTATGAGAAGGCATGCCTGTCCCGCCAAATGCAGGACGTCTGGTCACCTTAAACAAACTTGAACATTGGGCACTATCTAATCAAATGAAATTCAATGGTGAAAAGAGTAAGATTCTGCACTCAGGCAAGAAAAACGAAATGCACAGGTACAGTATAGGTGGTACCTTGCTCAATAGTACTAACTGTGAGAGGGAACTTGGAGTCCTAATGGACAACCATTTAAATATGAGCCAGCAGTGTGCAGCAGCTGCCAAAAAAGCCAACACAGTTCTAGGCTGCATAANGGCTCAGGGTTGACTCAGCCTTCCATCCTTCCGAGGTGGGTAAAATGAGGACCCGGATTGTTGGGGGCAATATGCTCACTCTGTAAACCACTTAGAGAAGGCTGAAAGCCCTATGAAGCAGTATATAAGTCTAACTGCTAAGTATCTTTAGCCAGAAACCATGTAGCTCATCTGGTCCAGGTGCACTCCAATTCCTCACTTTTCTTAACTCCCTTTGCACCATTTCTTTTGTTATTTTCACATCTTCCATTTTTTGCACTTCACAATATTCAACCTGTTTGATCCAGTTTGCATTTCTGTTTTGCTTCTTGCTGTTTTTCCACAAGTTCTTCCAGAATTTCAGAGTTTTCTCCCTATCAGGCTTTTCATTTGTTGTTACTCCATCTCCACTTTCTAAGCTCTTGTAAAACTGGTGCTGATTTGCTCTGAGATGTGAGTTTTCCTTAAATTGAATTACTCAATTTTTATATCGTTTAATCTTTTCAGCAATGGCAACAACCCTCTTCTTCAGCTCATCAATTACTACCGCAATCTCCTTATTCTCCAAATCATATCTTGCTTGCAGGCTGCTTTTGACTTACTTCTTCTTTAGCTAACCTTGCCTTAGGTTCTTCAAGTTGCTCAAGTCTCCACGAAATTTTTTGATCTTCAATTCCGGCCGAATTTTCCACTTAGGCTTCCCCTTCTTGCCTCTTTGGTTCCTTTGTATTTTCAAACCCAATTCTTTGGTGGTTATGAAGACTGCTGCATACATCAGCTGGCTTGTTTCAGCTAATGTAGTGGTTCGAATGGTTTGCACAGCCTCATTGACCTTTTTTGGTATATTTCTCAATTCTTTCCAGTTCACTTGGTTCAGCTTTGGCAAACGTGCTCTTTCAGCGTCTTCCATTTGATGCTTTATTTTCTCAGCTAATTGAGTACTATCTGTTGGTGTTTGTTCTTCAGTGATTTCTTGTTCTTTATCCATTGCAGTAACCTCTTCCTCTCTTTCTTCCTCAGTTTGCTTTTGAGTCTTCAAATCATTCTTGATGTTACTCTTTTTTGTTGGTCTGCTCAGACCATTAGATGCTTTCTCTTTGATTCTTGTTAATTCTGTTGCAGTAAAAAAAATCTGTGGCTCAAAATTACATGTTATTGGTCCATTAGCATTTGTTCACTGATATCACAGCCCCTGTGGTTCACATTCCAAATCTGATACATTCATTTTTGAAATATACATTTTGCTGGCTCGGATTGAAAATAGGCTTCCATGATAGAGATGTTGTCTTCCCTAGTCCAGGGAATATTATTATTACTATTATGTGGTTAATCTTTGGTGAGATTCACAGCCTTTGGGGCTGGTTGGTAGCTCAACAGCTTGAGTCTTA